ACTTCGCTTTAATTTTTCCTAGTTTCCTGGTTAAGGCTGCCGTTTTGTTATGGATGAACTGCAGAGCTGAGTGTCCATGGCAAGCTGGAAAAAACAGAGGAAAAATCATTTTGTACTGACTTGGAAAAATTCAGGGGAATTCAGTGGTTCTGATGGTTTGGAAGGAGAGGTTGGAGGGAGCCATTTCTGTAAAGCGCTGCTATTTGCCTTTTTGGTGCGGCCACGACCAGGTGGTCCCGGGGAGCAGCACACCTCTAAAGAAGGTGCTTTCCTGCCAGATTGCCCCAAAAGGCCTGGAATCTTTTGCTGGGGTTTAGCACGCTTGGCCAGAGAGAACAAGCCCTGGTTTTGCATTCGCACAACACTTAGAAATGAAAGGGAAGTTTATTCCTTGGGAAAATGGAGAGCAGGCACAAGCTTTTAACCTGATATTGCCTGTATTTTGCTGTGTTTATTGTTGTTATTAATGTGTTGCGGTTTTTATTATGTTTTTATCTCGTGTTGTGAGGTGTCCAGAGGTGCTGTGGCACAACTAGGTGGCATACAAATGTTTTAAATAAATAAACAGAGAGCAGATATTTCTACTGCGTCTGAATCTCACTCCGTACTTCTAAAGAGATAAAGACCTTCCTTAACCTCTCTTCCAAAGAGGTAAAGGTGTGTGTGTTGAGTGTGTGTGTGTGGGGGGGACATTACCTGAACTGTAGAATAGTTTTCTTATGTGTGGCCAGGAAGGGTGCAAGGCATCCATGGGGCAAGAAGGGCCGAGTCCAGAGCGCGCCTCTTTTCCCACTGTGTCCAGAGCATGTCCTTGCTTGTGTTCACAGCTTGGGTATGTCTGATCCTTACACTATTGCTCTCTGAACTTGTGCCTATGGGAAAGACCTGTTTCCCAGGCGTAATCTAATTCTTGGAAGGGTGCCCCATTGTTTCTGGATACCGTAACTGTTGTTTCTCTGGGTAAAAGGCGAGTTCTTTGTTTGCTAGGTACTATGGATGACGTAATTTCAAGGTGTCTCTGGACAAGGGCTCATCCTTTCCGTTTTGCCTGATCTCTTTAAGGGGAAAATGTCCGATCTTTTTTCTGCAGTAATTCCAGCATTTGTTCTCTCACACTGCTAGCCCAGGATACAAAACTCACTCTGCCCTGGGAGCTTATTGTTCTGGTGCTAATATTGATATGGACACGCATTATGGTGTCTATCAAGTGGGCGGCCACTTCGAGGGCCCCATGACTGGCCTGAAGCCATGCAATGCGTGTCATGGCTGGGTGGGCACAAGAACCAGGTTTCTAAGTCCCAGTCCCACACTCTAACCACTAGGCCACACTGCACTGGCTCTTTGGTAATTCAACACTTCAGGAGACAACTCTGTTGGAAAAGTTGTGTTAGCCCATCGAGGCTGGCAAAAACTTCTTCACTGAGAGCTGCCTTTCTAAATTGCTTTTTCTGTGCCAAGATATTTATTCTTGGACTCTTGTGAGAATCTGTGATTTAGTACGAACCATGCCTCTTTCAATCTACATACACTGGAAGGTGCAAGCCACCCAAAAAGAAAAAGAAAACTCAAGTTTTCTTCTCAACTGGCCTGCCAGCCGGCCTTTCTTTTGCGATGCACAAATGGATCCTGAGAACGGAATCCCGTGTTCCCCAAGCGGCTGCCCTCCAGGTGTGTCAGAGTACAGCTCCCAGCATCCCCAGCCCTTGGGAACACTGTTTTCATGAGTGCTCAAATTACAGGAAGGCCATCAAAGGCCTTAATGCTTTTTTATGTGTTCGTTTGTTTATTTTAGGAGGGTCTGAGCCAGAAGAAAAATATAACTCAGATAAGACAAGGTAGAAATGGGGCTTATGGAATGAGTTCCTTAGAGATAGCTCCGTCTTTCCCCCATTCCAGTAATTCAAGCACTTGTCTTCTCAGCATAGCTTCTTCGCATTCACAGAGGTTATTTCTTGGCCTTTGTCCACAATAACTTTTCATGTCTATGTAGTAGTCTTTGTTTTCTTTTTCTTTCTTTTGAACTGCCTGCCCTGCTTTGAATCCTCAGATGCGTTCCCAAAGCGAAAAGTTTACATCATAAAAACACGCAGTCGCTGTTTGCCAAGTAATTCCTCCGGCTTTTGCCTGGGACACCGGCTTAAATCCTCAGCTGAGCTCTCCAAGTGTGTTTAGTAACATGTCAGTTCCTTGGAACTGGGCAAAAACAACCCCTAAAAACAGGGCTCGCCTTGCATCCCATAAAGGTCTCGGAACAAACTGTTCTGGATTCCGCATCCTGGCCCTCTCTCTCTCTTTCTCTCTCTCCCCTGTGGGCGCTTGTTGGAATTGTGTTGTTCAGGCCGTTTCCTGTCGCCCAGTGAGAGGCGGGCAGGAGTTCTTATCTTTGTCTTCTGTCTGTGGCCTGAACACTGGGGCAGGAGCAAAGGGCACAGAAAAATAATAATTTGAAAAGCCCCAACAGCAATCTGATTTGGCAAGCAGCTGGGCAAACATTGCCGAACCAGAAGTCTTATTCTTGGCAAAGAGAAGAGGCAGTGGTCTTACTTGTTCTAGGTATTTCTATTCTGCTTTTCTTTCAAGACAAAAAAAAGCAGGAGTCCCTTTCCCATTGCAGCCCGCTTCAGTCCAAACCAGCCCGGGTCTGCGTTCCAGCAAAGAGGTAGCAGAAAAGCCAGAGCCTGTTTGAAACTTGGCAGGGTCCAACCCCTGCAGTGGGAAAGCTAGGGTGGCAGGGTATCCTCTTCTACAGTGGGCAGCCTTCTGCTTGCAGGGGTGCCCGGCAGCCATGATTTCTTTTGGCGGTGTCTTCTCCTGAAAGAGCGGTCCTGTTGAACTGCAGCTTAATGGCAAATACCCATCTTGATTCTCTGCAATGCTTTCCTTGCACCCCTGTACCTGCAGCTCCTCTTCTGCTGCTGTTTGCATCCAGTGACAGCGAGCAGAATTATGTGCCAGACATACTGAAGATGTTTCGGCCTCAAAAGGCGAGGAAGCCATCACCGACATCCCCTGCTGGGATCGTGCCAGCTTCTTCCACCTCCAGAGATGCCCTCTTAGCGCCACGTCCTCTCGAGACTGAATGAACAAGAGTTCTAGCTGTGTGCGGCTACCATGCGGTGCATGGCGTATGAACGGGAGACTTCTTATTCTGGGATAATTAATGGCTGTTCTGCGCATGCATACGGCTCCATGCGTCCGCCACATCCGCGGCCTCGCCTCCCTCCAGCCCCCATGCACACAACCTCCTGAGAATCAATGAAAGCCTTTCTTTTCCTTGCAGTTTAATCAGGCTTTTATTTGCAAGCAGTGCTCTCTCTGGTAGGAATTTTAGCTTGTCCGATCTTCGAGATCTTTGTGTCAGCTACGAGGAAATGCAGAGTTGTGGTTGTGGCATTTTAGTCATTTGTTTGCTTTAAACTGAGCTAAGAACTGAATCTTTGACCTGGTGCAGAGAAGATTCAGGGTTGACCCAGAAGCAAAAAAATCCAACTCTTCTACGGGCCGACTTGCACATTGTTCAATGTCCTATGTGGTTGTGGGCAAGAGTTTTCCTATTTCCTTGGACACAGAGCTTTTTAATGAATAAACAAGGAAACAGACTTGGTGAGAACGAGTCTCCAGGTCGCATTGCTGGCATCTAACAGGAGGGCTGGGAAAGACCAACCCTGTTTCAAGCCTTGGAGAATTGTCCCTACCACAACTTGCTGATCAGGGATAGGAAGCCCAGCTTCTTTAGGTGTTTTGGGCATAATTCCATCCCACATGGCCAGTGGTCAGGGAGCTGGGATCCAAGCAACTGGAGCTCACGAGGTTGTCTGCCCTGGTATAAGCAGAAATGGCTGTAGGAGAAATCCACCCAAGATTCAAATGGGTTTCTAGGAATCTGATCTGTAGATCGTGTAGCGGACTGGCTTTTCCTGAGCCTCACCCATTCCACGGACTGGGTTTTCTGGCTTGAGAAAGGATTAGAGGAAGTGAGCATTAATGCAGATAGAATAACATTCTGGTTTAAATACCAAACCATCCCATTAAGTCACTGGGAGGCTGGTAGAACCAAAGATGTCTGCCCAAGATAGAACGAGTTTAACAGTCTGTACATCCCTTCCATCAGAGCCTGTGTCTGAGGCAGCTCTCTCGCTCTGTTTGGTGCAGTTTAGACATTCGGCCTTGTAGCTTGTTCCCAGGACTGTCCACGAGTTCAGGTTTCTGGGTCCGGATCTTTACCGTTGAAGTTAGCTGCAAAACTAGGACTACTCTCTCTCTGTATGAGCACAAATAAGGGCAGCCCCCGCCTTTTTTCTGGACAGCAGCCAGTTGGGTCATTGCTCATGATCAGAAATCAGCAAAAGAACTTTCTCTTGTATAGAAACAGAAAATTTGGGACCTTGCACTAACGGGGAAGCTCACTACATCTTTTCAGGCACCAAGAGGCAAAGTAGAAATTGACCTTTTTTTGTGGACTGTGGTGCCCATTTTCCATATTCACTAATGCCAGGAAGAAGACACAGCCGTTTCCCAAGACACACAGAGCTCTGTGGTGTGACCTATTAAGGTTACAATCCTGAATTATCAGATAATATCGCTTGTACCCAAAATCAACCCAGAACGATCAGGAAGATTGTATCGAAACTGACTTGCATCTTGTGTACTGACTTTGTTACTATTCATTATGACATTCAAAAAATCATTTTTTTTAAAAAGGAGAACTCAGAATAGCTGTAAAGGGTATATTTTGATTGCTAGAACAAGGAGTTAACTGTCTTCTTCTACTGCTACTTCTTCTTCTTCTTCTTCTTCTTTATTATTATTATTATTATTATTATTATTATTATTAGCTTTTGTATGCCCTCCTTTATATAAATATCTCAGGACAGCTTACAGGAATGTAAAACAATTTAAAACAACTGATAACATACTTGTGCCCCACATCACGCATGTACCGCTCCCGTATCCATGGGTGTCTCTGACATGCCGTCTCTCCCTTCTCTCTCTTCGCACAGGTTGCCACGACAAAGCAGTCTTGTTGTACGAGTATGTGGGGAAGCGGATTGTGGACTTGCAGCATACCGAAGTTCCAGATGCCTACCGAGGGAGAGGGATCGCTAAGCATCTTGCCAAGGTCTGGATCGCCAGTCGCCCGCAGCTCTCGCTTTTCTGCTTGCAGACTCGTTCTGCATTTGAGTCTTGCTTTTTGCAAGAAGAGCAGAGGTCCCATGATCTAAGGAAGGAATGAAATTGCAAGTGTGCGTTTGAAGAAGTAGAGACAACTGTGCTTGGTTGGCATTCGATCAAAAGAGTGAAGGCCCTCTAGATAGGAAATTACAGCGCTGTAAAACTTGCTTAAAATTGTGATGCCTCACTAGCTGGGTACGGTTCTATCTAATCATAGTCTTCTGAACGTGATTCGCTTTGCAGATTTCCAATTATGTCCCATGAATGGGCTTGTGGTGTATACAATTGCTTCAGTTGGTCTTTAATCAAGAATCCAGGGTCGTTAGGTTCAAAATGATGAAAAACGGCTTTATGTGAATTCTCCTCTCGTAGTAGCCCCAACCCATGTTTTTCCCCTGCGATTTTTTTCTTCTTTCTAATGCAGAAAATTCATTAAGGAAGAAAAGGCAGGACAGCGACATGATGCACGCTGGTTGCTAGTGCACCCCCCCCCCCCCGTTTTGAGACATACAAAAAGGGAAAAATTAAATTTCTAAGCAACTTGCTTCTGCCTATTATCATTTCTGAAAGAAGGGGAGGAAAAAATAACAGGCTATGTCCAGATCAGACTCTGGACCATCATGCCGCCTCCTCCATGAAATTTTATGGAGGGTGGGGGGTGCCCAGTCCACATCCTTCCCATGTATTCTCTTGTTGTCGTTATTTCCGAGTTGTTCCTATTGACTGTTTTCAGTGGTTATTGTTGAATGCTTTAATTGTATTTTATATTATTACTTTTTGTAAGCTGTCCTGAGGCTTGTGCAAAGGACAGGGTAGAAATGCTTTAATTTAATTAATTAATCATCTTACTGTACACGATTTTTTGTAGGCCCAGAATTTATTTTTACATTGTTAACAAGTGTTTCCTATACCATCAGAAAAGAGCTTAAAATGAGGGCGTAGTAACTTCAATTTTTTCCATTCCCAGGACTCAGGAACACTTTTCCTTTCTTTACATTTACTGTTCCACCTTTGTCAGCGGAAGGAAAACTCGCACAGCCTTGTTTATGAAATGTCAGTTGAAATTTATTATGTGGTAGCTTTAAGAGTCTTGCCTCTTGGCTGGCTCCATTTGTCAAATGAGCAAAATTTCCCTCCGCGTAGAGAATTGGGAGTCAAGGTTACTTGACTGGGTAACCGCGTGAGAGAATGCAGCTTTACAGCCGCTTATACATTCCTGAGCAAAAAAAGAACACCCGTTTGCCATCTAATTAAAAAGATACGTTCTGGGCTGCTGAAATTTCATGGCATCGCACCATCAAGATCGCAGGAATAAATAGGTTTGCTGGGCCCTGATGTGAAGCTCACTTACTTGGGAAAAGCTCGAATCTGCTGTGGAAGACCATAATGTTCAAAGTCGATGAGGATGATTTGGCCATTGGTGTATTATATGCACCTAGCCAATCACTGCCTATAAAATCTTATTTTAAAATAAGAGAGGGTGTTTCTATCAGCTGCCATGCTCTGGTTAGTCAGAGGCGGCGGCTAAGTGGCCCTGGAGTTTGGCCACTAAGTCCAGCTACTTCTGGGCCATTTTCCCACTTCATGCATGCTCCAACTATACCCAGATGCTCCCTTTGGACTGAAAGATGCTTCTGCCAGAGGTGCGGGTAGGTCTGCTTAATTTTTGCAGGTATGACGTGGGTCATCCTCTCTTTCTCACCAGCTTCATCAGTTCAGGCTACAGTCCCGAACACACTTACTAGACAAGAAGCCCATTTGGGCTTACCAAACCGCCTCCCCTACAGCATGATAGCGTGGTTCCAGTCACACTCAGATCTACTTCTTCGGCAACATGTCTCCTCCCGGAAGGAAATTCTCATCGGGGAAATTTGGTTGAGAACATCTGCAGATGCTGTGCCTGGCTGAGTCGAAGCTGCTGGGATTGCGGCTGCCGGTGGATCCCTGAGCAAGGGCCTTGGGGTGGCCGCGGACAGTGGCCGTGTCACCACCTGCGCCATCTCCTTGCTTGGTTGGCGGGCACGGGAGGCGTGAGCAAGCGAGGTAGGGCAGTTCCTCCCCTCCTCTTTGCCACAGAGCGAGAGGCAGGGGAATCGGCAAACCCAGGCGGCCCTTCCTGATTCCCTGCTGATCCTTGGCAGGTTCCCAGCCACACCTGCCCTGCTCCAGGGCCAGGGAGGGCCGAGCTTGAAGGCCAGGCCCAAGTCCATCTCTGCCCTCCTTGGCTGTCTCTCTGCTGCAAAACCTCTCTGCTCCCAGATCTGAGCCCTCTTGGAATTCCTGCTTGCACCTGGCGAATTCCACACCCACCCACAGCAGCATCCTTTCAGGCTGTTGCACCCGAGTCTCCTTCTGCAACACGGCGCTCTCTTTTTCTCCAGCCTTTGTTCTTTAAATGAGTTAATGACGTAGGAGCTTATTACATTTGAGCATTGAAAAGGGGCAAAGAAAGGGAACTTCTCTGGCCTGAAATTCATTGAGAGGTGACAGTGCTGGTTTCCCGCTTTGCTCCCTGGAGCTCCCAGTGGCGGGGGGGGGGGGGGGTTTACTTGTACCCCAACCCTGAGTGATGGGAGAGAAGCGGAGGTTGGGCATTTTGCAGGTTCCACTGTGTGCAGCTTTTCTGTCTCTCCAGCAGCTCTTCCTCCCTCCCCACAGAGGGGACATGAGGACAATTCACAGCTGCTTTTGTCCGTGTGAGGCCCTGATAAAGGGACACAGTCTGGTCCTCAAGGGATTTCTTCCACACCTTAAAGGGCCGGTAGTTTCCCTACAGCAAGCCAGATATGGCACTTGGGTCCACACTGGGAGACGCTACTTTCAGAATCTACTTTTCGGATTTTGTATTCACATCTTTCTGAGCCAAGCAGCTGCTTTCTTCCTTGGGCCACACCTGAATTCAGGGATGCTCTTCAACGGTGCTTCCGTCAACAAATTGCCACCTGAGTTACCTCTTAGATGAGGAGTTTGCAGCAAAAGTCCCCTTATTCCCGAAAACAGCAGGTTGCTTAACCGCCCACCAGCGCATCTGAACAACCCAATCCTGTCTTGTCATTGTTAATTTGGTGTCAGAAATGCCTTTCTCAAAGCAGCAGGTGTTCCTTTTCTGTACAGGTCTTGGGTGGCATTGAGGAAGCAGATCTGGAGGTTGCTAATGGACATTCTTTTCTTTTTCCTGTCCTTTCAGGCAGCCTTGGATTTTGTGGTCGAAGAGGACCTGAAAGCCCACCTCACGTGTTGGTACATCCAGAAATACGTCAAGGAGAACCCTTTGCCGCAATATCTGGAGCGTTTGCAGTCTTAGTGCACGAGGGCTGCAAAGCCCAGACTTCTCTGACCCAAGCTGACCGCACCCATTCTTCCATTTGGCTCTTGCCAGAGTTGGCTGGCTCGAAATCGGTCGCTTCCACGCCCTTCTGCTCTAAGGAACCCATCCAGGTGTGAAGCTTGGTCTTTGGCGGGCATTACTAGCTCACGGCAATGTTTTTCCGGCACAGTCCTCTGCCGCAGAGCCCGCCTCCCTTTCCAGGTCTTCCTCCCCAGGGAGTCCAGCTCAGGAGAAAGTCCATGAGACTCGGCACCTGTTGGCTTGGTAACTCCGAGCAGAGCGGGAACAGTTGAGGGGCTTCAATACTGAGGTAGCAAGAGCTAATTTTGGACATCTGGTCGGCTCCTTGGCTGCACGTCGCCATGTGGGAAATGAAATCGACAACGCAGGAGAAACCAAGGTCATTGCAAGGGCTGAGCCTGGAAGGGAAGTGCTTGCCAGGTGCTAAATGCAATAAACTCGCTTCAAAGGCGAGGCGGCGTTGGCATTCCCCTGGAAGTGCCTCTCCAGACACAGGAGAGATGGACCGCGAGAGGCATCTGGGACCGTCGTCTTTCCTCCCTCGGAGAAGGACTCGGCCCACGTCATAGCAGCTGCCACACAAAGCCGAACGGGGCGTTGTTAAATGATGGGCCTGGTTTGGAACAGGAATGCTTGGACGCTCCTGCACATTTGAGAAGGAGAGGGCCTGGGGTGTTGTTCTTTGGGTTGGAGGGGTTCGCTTGGACCCCCGAGCTTCCCTTCTGAAATGGAGGACGATCCCTGCCGTGTGGGAGAAGCAATAACAAAACCTGTGGGCGAGGGGGGTGGAGGAAGAAGGGAGGGAAGGGCGAGGCGGTGGGGACGGTGTGCCGTAAGAGCATCTTGGGCGTTTTCACGGTGGGAAGCTCTGCCCTGCTTGAGAGCCACTTTTAGGACCCCTGCCGGAGACGTGGCCAGGAGGGAGATGCCGTGGCCTTGACTTGCGGCAGAGAAAGGAAGGCTGGACGGGATTTGCTTGGCTACCTTGAACATGTGTGAACGAGGGGAGGGAGGAGAAGCCGGGGTTTGTTTGGCTTGCCCTTCTCCAGTGGAGCAGGGAGGAGAAGATATTCCCGCTGGAAACGTTTCACCTAATCCTCGCCCTGCATGGGGTGCTGTTGGGATGCCATGTGGTTACTCCTGCCTGGGACGATGACATTTCTGGATGACGTGTTCTCAGTTCCTCTTTTCCATGATTCTGCCTGTGGCCCGAACAGCCTTTTCGGTACAGGCCTGGCAGCCTCGGCTCGACAGAAGAGGCATTGGAAGCTCTTACTAGACCAAGCTTAGGCCCAGGTTGTTCTGAGGTTGTGTCTCGGGGCATCAGCGTTGCCTCTTCCGCCGCCCCACCGTACCGAGCTCACTCCCTGAGATACACGGTTGGAAGTTTCCGCAGACAGAGGTGGACATGAGCTAGGTCCAGGTGACTGCATCCACATGGACCGCTTAATTGTGCGTCTTTCAACGGAACTAAGGTTGTTCAGGTCTTACCAGTGATATTTTTAAAGCAGCAGACGGTCCGTTCCGACATTTCAGGGCAATCCTTCCTGTCTGGGGTGACTCTTATACCGATGGAGTCAGACGGGGTTCTCCTTCGATCATTTGGAGTGTTGCTAGCCAAGGCCCATGCAGTGGGTACATTTGGTCGTGGGACAGAGTGTCTTTTGATTTCCAGGGGAAGCTTGGTGAGATCTCGGTTTGGTCACCCTGCCTTAAACGAGCCCAGCATTTTGGGAGTGCTGGTGAATTTTCCGTGAGGTGCTACAGTGATCATTTTGGCCTCGGATCCAACTGAGACATATTTCGTCACCACCCCAGATTTATTGCTGGGCCCACCTGTTTTATTTGTGTTTGTCATTTTTGAGTCAAGCAGTTAGGCCTATTTTTTCAGGCTGGGCTCTGTAGCAACACACCCCTTGTTACCAGGGGAACTTGAAGTCAATGGTGGTGGGATGGAAATAACGTTTTGCTTTTCCAGGTAGCCCAGCTCTGTCATCGAGGTCTCCCTTGCAGCTGGCTATGGCCAAACCCATTCATCTGACTGGCTGCTGGAGGATGTCTCTCTTCTTGATGCATGGAAGGCACACGCTCCATCCGAACAACTTCCAAAGCCATGAACAGGAAAATCTGTTCTTGGCTTTTCCTCCAGAGTTGTTTTTCCACTCCATGTGGGTTTATTTTTTCCTTCCAACCTCCTTCTTCTAATTATAAAGTGATAAAAATGTGCCTTTCCTACTCAGGACCTTTTAAACACGACCTTGTTCTTGTTTGTGTCTAACATTATCTTTCCCTCTTTGTCATATTATTAATGAAACCTGACCCTGTTGCATGGAATCCAATAAAAAGTGTGGCTAAACCAATGGGCTTGTTTGGTATTTGCTGGAAAAGCGCATGTAGCTAAGAACAGGCACATGACTTGAATTACTGGCATTACAAAAAATAATGCCGGTGTTTCTGTTACTGATATCAGAACTTGAAAGGAATTTCCGGCCCATAAACTGAAAAGGGTTTAAAAGAAATTACTTCACCTGTCAGGACTTGAGGGAATTGTTGTTTGTAGAACATGGGCTAAGAATATCGGGGAATACTTGGTGCTCTGACCTTCCTAGGATTTACTAGGGGAAGGGGCTGTTAAACTTGTATAAAAACCAGTCTGTCTGCCGTATTATAGAGAAGCTTTCAAGATCTGGGCTGAACCTCGTCCTCCCTCATTCGATGGCAACATAATCCGTACTTGCCATTTGTACCAGAGTGTTCTAAGAAAGGGCTTGGGGCAAAGCTTGGGCATGGAGCTTACATCTGGCCAATGGAATTACCCAGAAAGCCAATCCCCTTTCCCCTGGCCCCACCTCCCTTTCTTCCAACCACAGAGGGTTGGTTTTCCAGCTTTTGTGCAAGGCTGGAATGCATCCATTTAGGAAGCTAAAGAGGACTTAAGAGTCTGCTAGTTCATAGCAAAGGTATGTCCAGTCCAGCATTCTTTCCACCCTACATAATCCGAGCGTTTCCCCGCAGGGGGAACTATTCCAACCCCTCATGGCTTGGCCACTAGCAGAAAGAGCTTTAAGCCAAATACCCTGGGCTGGAAAGATGAACAAGTGAGTCCTTGATCTAATCAAGCCAGAATCTGCCCTGGAAGCAAAAATGACAACATGGAAACTGCTCTACTTTGGGCACCTCATGAGAAGACAAGACCCGCTGAAGAAGACAGTTGTCTTATGGAGAGTTGAAGGCAGAAGACAAAAGGGAAGACCTATTAGGAGATGGATGGACTCTATTAGGAAAGCCAACCCTTGAGTTGACAAAAGCTTTGCAGGATATTCTGGACATCGCTCCTTCATAGGGACCCCCTAAGTCAGAGATGACTTAATGACACATAATATCTCATCGTATCTCAAGGTCCTCCGATCGGAATACAATGGACATTCCAGGAAAACGTGATCTGAATTCTCTCCCACCTGGCATGTGGTCAGACCATGTGTGTTTGCTCCTGGTCAGCTGCTAGAGCATCTTTTTCAACCTCCATGAACTGCAAGGTGCTTCTTCTGCAATGCATTAAGAGCCATCTAAAGCCACACCAGCAGACAGAAGACAAATACGGGTGTGATTTCCTGGGAAGGCCCGAAAGTATAAAGCATGTGGCCACCAGCACAAGAGTGGTCTGGAAAGTCACCTCAGCTAAACATCTTGCAACTTTCAAACCGTCTCTTTCTTAGCCCCACAAACTCCTGTTCAAGCAAGAAAATCCCTTCTCGCTGGAGTGACACCGATTTCGCACAGCAGCCTCATCAGAACTCGACACCGGGACTTTGCCCTTGACCCGATTCTCCAGTTGCAGCCCTCCATGGCCAACCACGCCGGGGTGTTCTGCAGAGCAGGGAGAAGTCAACAAGGCCGTGGTAACACACACCATCTCAGCAGGCGGTCTCCAGGGCATGGGAGGGACCGGATCCGGGAACTCTCAAACTCTCCTCGCAGGTTGCCTTGCTAAGGATGGGTGGGAAAGCGTGGTGGCTCCTCGTCAGTGTTTCCTCAAGTCTGGAGGAGGTTTCAAAAATCCGAAAGGAAGCCACAGAGTGGAAAGAACCTGCAGCTTTGCTCCATACCAGAGGCTGCCCCAGTTCAGGTATCGCGTTCTCTGTGGAGCAGCTTCCACGGAGTGTCTTTGTGTGTGTTCTATTCTTTTTGGCGTCCGGCAAAGACCTTTTTATTTTCCTGGTATTTTAACAATTAATTGGTTTTATCCTTGTGTTTATCCTTATTTATCGGATGCAGTGTGTTGTTGTTACGGTTTCTTTGTTCTTTGGTTTTTTCTTCTTTGTAAGCCGTCCAGAGACTTTTAGTAATGGGATGGCATAGAAAAACTTAGAAAAACATAGAAAAAAATAAATAAAATGTGGAAGGGTTTAAAGCTGGGATGTGAAACTTCTTTCAGCTGGAGACCTGCATTCATATTGGGAGATGCACAGGGAATGTATTCTGGTGACAAGCAGCTGGGCCCCAAAAGTACAGAATTTGGAAGTGTACCATAGCTTTAAAACCCTTACTGCTAGGAACAAAGTCTTTTGGAAAGAGAAGGGGGAATGTGTAAGAGCCAGGAAACCACCACCAAACAGGTGGGGAAGGAGGAACCTGGGGTGGGGGCTGGATTTGGCCCCTGGGCACTGCGTTGCACCCCTGCCTTGGAGTAGCTGGCCTAGGGGTGCTTTTAAGAGTTGGAATTTTCACTGCAGAGGGTTCCAGGACTGTTGGGTGGGACAGTTTGAGGGTGAGTGAAGCCAGGTGGAAGCAATCCAGGTTGTGGGGCCTGTGATGTGACTGAGGGTGTGAAGGACTGGGGCTGACTCCCCCCCCTTCCATGCCCCCCACACCTGCATCTACCGGAACCATCAACTCCAAGGAGCCCCGCTGCTTAACCTTGGAAGAAAACGAGCCATTGTTTCTGAATCCTGGTGACACCGAGTCCGAGAGACCTGTCAGCGTCAAGGTCAGCCTTGTGCAGAATTCCATGAAGCATTTTTGGACAGAGGATTTCAGGACTGGGTGCCATTTCTCCGCCTCCGGTGACTAAACAAAAGCAAATTCAAAGCATGAGTCATGTTGACTTCAGAAACCAAACAAACAACAAACAGAAGGGGTATATGGCTAGATTTACATGCATTGGGATTTAGAGCTTGAGTCTCAGGTGTTGACCCCTGGCCTCTTGCCATGGCCAACATAAGGACTGATGGGACATGTTGTCTGGCACTCCTTTGAAGCCTGGAGGTTATGCACACTTGGTTTACAGGTTCTGGAAAAGTTGATGCAGGACAATGATGCTGATGGGCATCCAAAAAGCGATTCGGTTCTGGAATGGATAGACTTCATGGTCCATCTATGAGGAGAAAGATTCACCCGATTCTGCACAGGCCAAATATATTTGCTGTAATGACTGTCAGGACGGAGAGAGATTCTGTGACCAATAATTCTTCTGGTGGGCAGCAAGGTAAGTTACTTCTCTTGGCAAAGTTTTGGGGTTAGGATCGGAAATAGGAGAGAACAAAAATATTGTGAGAATTTCTTATGGTCCTCAACTAGATAAAAATGACCAAAATAGCACTCTTTAACAATCCTGCATGCATTTACGTAGAAGTCCCATTAACCCCAGTAAGACTTCCTCCCTAGTAAGCATGTTTGGGGTTGCAGCCTAAGGGCGCAATCTTGTGCATATTTAGATAGAAGTCATACAACTCACTTTTTGATTAAATATGCATAGACTCATTTTAGAAATGAAATAAACAGAGACATATGGCAGAAGATGGAAACATACATTCTGGATATAATTAATTTAGGTAAAACACTTTGTCAGGGTGTGGAATGCTTTTTGGGGAGCTGTACAGTGTTTTAGCTGTAACTGTTGAATTACTCCATCTTTTTGTATAAATATATAAAAATACATGGTTGTACACAGACATATTTGGCGTCACACACATATACACACATTTACGTTAAGCAGATTGGTGTAATCTTTGCTGGTTTTTCCTCCTTTTTGCATCTTTGTTTCTTGCCTGTTTTTTACTGTTAGTCTTACACACAGAGAATTTGCATATGCAAATATTTAGTTGATTGATGCCATTTTCTGTGATGCCTTTGCCCCTTTTCTTTCTCCTTCCTTTCGTGTGGTTGCTTTTGATCTTTCATTTTGGCCAGTTTGACCAGGCTACATATTTAGGGTTGGGGACCTATTGAGCCATGTCCCTGAATGACCCACATGATTTTAGCCAGGGAGGTGTCCCCCCAGGGAAGGAAGCTAAGGGACAGGGTGTGTAGTTTGGGAGTGCTCCTCCACCCAGTTATCCCTGGAGCTCCAGGTGACTGCTGTGGCGCTTTCCTTCAGCTGATCCACCAATTACGCCCTTACCTGGATGAGCGGAGCATAGCAATGGTGTCCCATGCTCTGGTCACCTCTCTATTGGAATGTGCTCTATGTGGGGCTGCCCTTGAAGACTGTCGAGATACATCAGTTGGTTCAAAATAGAGCAGCCAGGTTGCTAACTGGGACTGGCAGATATATACATAAAATGCTGGTCCTATACCATCAGCACCGGCTTCCAATTTAAGGTGCTAATGATGACTTACAAAGCCTTTATTTATTTATTTATTTATTAAAACATTTCTATGCCGCCCCATTCGCCAAAGCCTCGGGGCGGCTCACAACATAAAGTGTAAAGTCTATGTCCTTTTTTTAAGTCTCTTTAGCACAATCTCAAGAAGAAAATGTTTGGGTTGCTGAAATCAATACAACCAATGCAAAAATGCACACAAAAGAAATCCTTTGTTGAACTGGTGTTGCACAAACCTGTTGCTTGCCTAGGCTAACGAGAAATGTGCTTTCTGCTGGACAATGAGAACTGTTTTACACAATTTCTTATTACAGAGATGATACTCTCCCACATAGATACAAAATGCACCAACCCATTGTTAACACAAACAAACTTTTAGATGAACATATGAGTGCTTATGTTCATGGAAAGAAGTTTTGAGAACTTGCCTGGATATTTGAAGGAGCGCCTCCTTCTGTACATGCCCCCTAAGATCTGGCTTGGAGGCCTTTCTTTGTGAGCCCTCTTTAGAGAGCAGTAGAGCAGCTACCCGGAGAAGGGCCTTCTCTGTGGTGGCACCCCGGTTATGGAACGTGCTCTGCAGAGATGTGTCTGGCCCTGAGATTTTTTTTTCCCGCACCAGGCCAAAACCTTTTTTTATTTCCCATTATTTTAAATATTAAATCGTGTTTTTACTTTGGATTTTACCATATTTATATTTATTTATTTCACTGGGTTGCCGCCCTGACGCACTGTGGAGGGCGGGATGCAAGAACTTT